GTGGTTGGAGAAAAAAGATTTTGTTAACAAAAGAGACCAAGAGAAATAGCTGGAAAGTTTCTAGGTTTTCCGCTAAAGGACATACGATTCATGGTTAACTAGAAAAATGATTTTTTCCTAAAATATACCCAAAAAATTATCAAAGTCCTCGTGTGAGATCGAAGGGACTTCAGCGCATTTGGCAGATCAGTATTCTATTAGCCACTTTTGACTCAACCATGCGATCTTGTCGAAGGATACCACATTCCCTTTGACGGTACCCACTTCCGACGGCGACGTCCCGTTCACCCGCAATTCGCGTTTGAAGATTTGACTCCACCATCAGTAAGATCGTGTCGGGGGCTACCACATTCCCTTTGACGGTACCCACTTCCGACGTCCCGTTCCCTCACAATTCGCGTTTGAAGATTTTTCTCCACCATCAGTTAGATCTTGTCGGAGGCTACCACATTTCCTTTTTCGGTGCATACTTATATTACACCCACATTTTGGTGGATCTCGCTAAAAACCTTCCACAAGATAGTACTTAATTTTTGGGGGGCACTTCTCATTGCTCGAGCTTCTATTGGCGACACGAGAAAGAGAGACAGCCATTCGAGATTTAAGAAACGTTAAAACACGTGACAGAATTCGCAACGGAAGGTAAAAGGTGCCCGAAGTTGAGTACCTCTCGAAGACGCGCGCGCGCGCGCCTTGCAAAAGGTCGTTAATTTCGCCCCTAGGCCAAAAAACAAAATTCCGCCACGCAGGAGTTGTGCGCGTTTACAACATCTTTCCGACGACACCAATTTGAAAAGAATCGGACCAAAACTGTAGTAGAAGATAGGAAAAAACTGAAAAACCTTCACGTTAGTATACTACGCTCGAGGACGACGCCCAGATGTCGCCAACCCCACATCATGTAGCCCTGTCCCCAAGGTTTACAAATTACACGGCCTTGTAGATACACGTACACCCGTTGCCTTTCTACAAGAGTTCTTCTACGCACCCACATTTGCTGCCAGCCAGCCGATCAGCCAGCCAGCCAGCCAAAGTGAGATTAAAAGCTACTTTTTACAAATAAATTTGCAAAAATGCGCTAATTACAAATAAATTTGCAAAAATGCGCTAAAAACATGCACAAAAAATACCTCCATCGCAATCTTGTATGAAGTTTGTACCATTTTGATGCAGTACACATTGCTCCAGCTCATAAAATATGAAGGGTGGGAGAAGGGGAACATCTCTTTAGGGAGTTGAATGTAACCACGGTTTAGGTCAACCGGTTTACACATAATTAGTATTATTGGAAAGAGCTCTCTTCGTCTGATCAGATTTTATATGTCCTTTTAGTAAATGTTAAGAGTGGTAGAGGGCGCCGTTTGACAATTACATAAACTTTGCCGGCTTTTTTGAAAATTTCAAACTATAATTATTATACCTATGATATTGATGAAAAAGTGAAAATATCATTGAAAATCGCATTTTGATATCTGTTTCTCAAGCAGAGATATTACGAAAATAGCTTTTGCTCCCCTTTATCCTACACTGTATTTCTTACCGTTGCGACGATCATAATGGTGAGGCACAAACTTAAACCACCCTGTACATATGAAGTCATTTAATGAGTTTGTTTCAGCTGAAATATTTTCACTTTCGATTAGACCGGATGTTGACTCACACTTCGGTTCGGATGCTCTCGTTTTTATTCACAGCTTTTAAATCTACTCAAAATGTTGACTAAATGTAATACAAATGACCATATGACCCGCACCGAGCGATTTTTTTAAATTTTGTAAAATATGTTCCTTCAGTAAATATAGTATAGTACATACAAGGATATCGGAAAGTATAAGAGATGAGAATTAGGTGAAATGAAGAAAAACTTGCAGTTATATAAGCATTGTTTTTCCAAAAATATTCAAGGTTTGCTAGACATTTTTATTTATAGAAAGGTGTTCAAATAGTTATCAAACTATGGTCGCTATTTAAAAAAAATGAAAACCGGTTTTCGCCTTAAAGCGAGTAATAAAAACAAGAGATTATCCAAATAAAGTCGGCTACTACTGCACCATTTTAAAAATTTTACCTTCATTTAGCGAACTACAGAATAATTTTTTTTTTCGATAACTGTCACAAACCGAAAAGTTTCCAAACAAATCAGAAACTTAAATTTTTGTTTCACAATCTACCAACCTCCCACCGATTAAAAAATTCAGGGTAGAAAATTTATTTATTTTATTTATTTATTTTCCCTATCTTGTTCTGGGTCCACAACAGGCTTGGGTCGCATTACAGAGTGACATGACTTCTGAAAGTTTTTTTAAATTTACTAAACTACTCTGCATTCAAAACACTCCTATAAAAATTATAAACAAGAATTCACACGGATCACTTCACTTTCTTTTTAAAGATGCAAATTTTTGTCGTACTTTAATAAAATACTTTTCTTTTCACGTAAACAAAATGTTATCATTTTTTATCTAAACCCTTGACTTTACTTTAACACAGATGTTTCTTTTACACGAAAATAAAACCTAACAAATACTTTCTAAACATAACAAAAATTCTATAATTAAAGAAAAACACCTGCACCTTTATCATTTACAATGCCTTATCAATTTAAACGACAGTAACAAAGTTGTATCGTTATTTAATAATGGCATAAATTTATTTAAACACAAAGACGAGCCATCCATAGCGTAAGTAATCAGTCTTTCTAGTAAATACGAAATAATTACGCAAACTGAAATTATGCGTGGTTTCACAACGATATACAGAGTGGTTCAGACTACCCGTATTATAACTATTGTGGTTTTCTATAGAATTACCTAAAAATTGGATCCCCCAATCCCCACTTTAGGGGGTAGGAGGACAAATTTATGCTTTCAATTCATATTTTTTGCGTATTTCCAACTCATGTTGGAAGGCGCTATATGATGACCATTTTCTCCGTCCGAGGCCTTAATTACTTCTACAGTTTTCAAGATATTTAATTGGTTCTTTTTGCATTCGGTAGCTTTTAACTCTGGAACCTGAGACAAGAAAAATCTTGACGATTAATGTGCGTAATGCCAACTTTATAATTTATGGAGATATTTTTTAAAATTTTAACCAAAGATTCTTCTAGTAAAGGCCAGCCTACAGCATATAAGTTTCTTATTAAGAACAATTATGTCTCAACTTATTTTCCTTTGTACATATAAATAGTCCGTTATATGACCTTTCAGGAAGTATACTGATCAATTCATGGCAAATGCGCTAACGTAACTCGCCTCAAGTCCTCAAGGCGGAAACCTGTTCTTCATTTTTTATTCCGTATCTCGATTCTACTCAAAAAAGTGTGACCATTTTATTCAAAACATTTTTTATTATTATTTTTTTTTAAGGTGAAAGTGCACTCAAAACAACAAAACGAAAGCAGATTAAATTGCAATTGTTTAATTGTATTTTTTGATTCTTAAAAAAAATCAATTTTGAAACAGAAAAAATTCCGACTACATTCGGAGATATCCGAAAACGAAATTTTGCAAAATCGTTTTTATTTTTTACTGAAGTTATTTAAAAAGATATTTCGAAATAAATAACACAATATTATGGGCACTTTTTTCCCCTCTACAAGATCCTACTTTTAGTTTTAGTTTTGACGTTTCGTCTCCAGTCAACCAGAATTTTTTCCTGATTTCAAAAATGTAAACATCACTATCTTTTAATAAGAAATAGTGCTATTAATTCGTAAAAACGCAAAAAACTACGTACGTACACTACCCAAGATAAAATTTTCTAGACAAAAAAGAAGATATTTTAACAATTTAAGAAAAAATGTGATGTTTATAAATTTGAAATCAGAAAAAAATGCTCTATCAAATAACACAAAAAGTAAAAATTCCAACCATAAGAAAAAACAAAGTTGAGGATGGTTAACCGGAGACGAAACGTCAGATTTAAAATTTAGTATCTTGCAGAGGGAAAAAAGGTGCCATAATAATGTGTTATTTATTTTGAAAAACATTTTTAAATAACTTCAGTAAAAAATAAAAACGATTTTGCAAATTTTTTTCCGGATATCTCCGAAAGTAGTCGGAATTTTTTCAGTTTCAAAACTGCATATTGTCAAATACGCAACTATGACAAATGTAAACTACTTACCCATCTCTTACAGTTTCCAAGATCCCCATGGTGGCCCTCGAATTTGAATCAGCCTGTATACGCTAGTTTCCGACTTTCCCATTCGCCTATTAAACTACTCCACTTCGACAAACACAAAACATATGTTTTATAGGAAATTTTCCATCGCCATTCATTCAGGTAATTTACTGCACCTTTTGTAGGTGTTTACATATGTAATTCGTAGAATATAATATAGCAAAAGTTTACTTACTTACCTACTTAATTTTAATTCTTTGCAAGCGTGATTGTTACGCCACTGATCAGTGCCGGTTTTAAGGGGGGGCTATGGGGGCTAATGCACCCGGCGGTTAGAAGATGAACGGCGGCAGTTCACCCCTCTGTACTCCGCGCCACTGTTATCTTGTACGAAAGATAACACGTACGACGACGCGGCGACAACCTACGCCTACGCTTACGCCACCCCACTACCCGATGCCCGATGCGCTGCGTCTATAACTTTTGAATCTTTAACATAGCGCGGCGGTCTAGATTTGTAGCCCCCGGCGGTAAACTCTGTAAAACCGGCACTGCCACTGATTTATCGCAATTCGCAAATTCCGCTGTATGTGAACAAATGCAGCCGTGATTTCGACCCGAATGAAATTTATTACGAACGCACCTCGTATACAAAACAAAGCACGTTGAATACAAAGCTTGCGCAGTAGAGTAGAAATCAAAATACAGTATAACCTAACAATCTTTGAGTATATTATTGCCGGTAATATTCTGCAAATCTTTAAAATGCAAGCAATTTAACAGTTTTAATAAACAACAAATTAGATTTTGCAGAAATTGCGTGTTCGAGTCATACTCATAGAATACGCATGCAAAGGAAATGTTTAGCTGCTTACCTCGATCGAACTTCTTTCCTTCAGGATCAATGTCTTTAACGTTAAAAATATCTTCAAATAACACACCAGCCATGGTTAACACTTATTTTTTTTGCCCGTTTCGAATGATTCGCACTTGTTTTGAAAATTTTTCAAAGAGAACCACATGACATGTTTAATTGTTTAACTTTCAGTGGCGCCCTCAACGAGAAAATTATAATTTAATTTCACTGCCCAGGCCCAGTGGCGTCCATACAAGTACGAGTAGGAGTGCTACGCTACCTGCTGATTCAGTGCTGAATATCCAAATAATATCTAATTGTAGATATGTTGACGTTTTAAAAAAGGCAGATCGTGATGTAGGTGCTTGGAGGATCTCGAATTGAAAATGTAAGTAGAGATGTACAAGTATCTCTTGCATCAAATCATTCCTTTTCAGTAATGTAAACATGTAAGATTCCTGGCAAGTTTCAACACAAATTTTGAATTAGACATGGCAACTTTACCACCCAGACGAAATCCAACACCCACGAAGATATCAAAGCAACACTTGACTCCCTTACAAGTTTTACTACAAATGGGGTTTCCAAAACTTCGAGCGTGAGTAGACACACATTGCGCATTGCATGTTCTAAATAAACTACAAGATCCATACAACAGGTTTTAATTAAATCACATTTACGTATATGATAATGAAGTACAACATTAACAGAACCAATGAGTTAAATCGTTTATAATAGGCTAACATCGAGGCTAACATATAAGCAACGGCAAATTTGCATGCCTCAAGCAGCATAAAGGGAATCATTGAAGACCCTAAGAAGTATGTGTAATTGAGACCCAGGTAACACATCACCCATTATGCTCGTCATGCGAGAGTACCGATCACAGAACACTTGATATTGGTCTACAATCGTTTGGGCAAATATGAAAAACATACGATTGTAGACCGGCATCAGGTGTTCTGTGACCGGCATTCTTTTCTGGCGAGCATTAATATATCAATTTTGGTGCTAACTTTTTTTGAATGTTTAGATAGACATAGACGGTGAAGAGATTTGCGAACCGTTTTCGAAAGTGATTAGTTTAAACATTCTTCAGTGTTGGAACTGAGTCTAGAATAGGAGCTAAGTATCTCAACTAAGGAATGAATTGGTTGAATGTAGATCAATTTCTTCAACCGGATCTTTGTACTTCCTACTAGGATGAAAAAAAAATTGTTCCAAAATGTTTTGTTTGGCATTATAGACTATGGAATTAAGGTCTTGGGAATTCTTATTTTCTAGCGAAAAAGTTTGTTTTGACCGTTAACATTGTAACATTAAAAACATGGACTTTATCCAGGCTTGCGTTGTGGGGTGAGGCCTTTGTTTCCAGCAGCTGCTTTGATGCCTTCATGATCATGTGAGGTGTTATCGAAAGCACCCTCTATAACCGCAAACACGGTTAGAGCCACAAGAATCCTTTGAGCACCTTTTTAAGTTTGTATCTTAAACTGTGTAGAGTGTTGTAAAGATACCACCAAGTCTCCACTAGATTCCATAAAGGGTTTCTACCCTTTCCTGTGTTTTGAGGGTTCACTTTTAACTCTGGAGTGAGACCTTACCTCACTTTCTGCCTATAACTGTTGGAGAGAAGCCTTTACTTCGTATGAGCCTGGAAAGTGAGTGCTCATGAGGAGCTGTAATGTGTACCTGGCGCCCACTGTCTATTTCCCGTTGGGTTTCTTAACATTCCCAATGCCATTGGAATGGTCTGTTTGTAGGACTTTTTGTAGGCGTGATGCTAGTGGTATAGAATTGATTCCTTCACAGAAGTCCTTCTTTTGGAAATGTATTCGGCTAGGGTACTTTTGTACTCTTCCCGTATTTCTTCGCGCCTCTGTCGATTGGCGTTGTTGACTTTAGCCCGATGTTTTCCTCATTCCACCAGGGAACGTTCCTCGTTTACCTTTCGTTTTTGCGGGGCAGCTCCTCTCATATGCATTAAGTAGGAGTCTTTGTAGATCATTTAAGGCTACTTCCAGTTACTCCTTCGTGTCTACATTTTGGGTGATTTCAGCAATTTCATACCTAATGTACTCATAGGAGCACGAGTCTGTCAGTTGTGGGACCTTGTTTGTAATTGACTGTATGTATGGTGCAGTGGCGGATTTAAGATTTGGTTCTAGGGAGGGGCGCATACAATTTTTAAATTGATTAATTTATTATTAAATTTAAATTAAAAAAAAAACATTTATTATATGTATAAAAATAGAACATTGTTGGCATAATACAAAATATATTGAGCAAATAACTAATTCATCATAAACTAACAAAAGAACAAACCAAAGAATGTCTAAATCACAAAGTGGAGCTTTCTTTTTGTCTGCGCAAATCGATTTTTTTCCACTTTCCGCGAAATTTGTCCAATAGGTATGCTTACACGATTAGGGAATTGCGCGCAGGTACACCATATTGTTGAAACCAACAGTTTCCAACTTTTGTTTTCTTTTGTGTACCGGACATCGTTTTAATTGTAAGAAAAAAAATACTATCCAACATAGTATCTGCTTACGGGCCATATAAAAAATGAAGTTGGTAATGATTTCTCCAAAATGAAAGTCTCAACGTGTCTTGTAAAACTCAATAAGAGACAATGAGAAAATGTTTTTTTTTCTGCTCAATAACATCAGAAAAAAATAAAAACGAAATCAACAAATTTCTTGTCTCTAATTTGACTATCTTCATATCTTCTATGGTTTCCGAAATTCCCATGATGACCGCCTGCGTAACTACCATTGTCTAGGAGGGGGCGCGCCTGGTATGGTGCGTTTATCTCGAACCTTACATGTTTATGATCCGAGAGTGAAGTCTCATCTGATAGATGCCAGTTAGTGTTTGCCCCAGGGTTGGTGTGGTGTCTTCTTCCCTTTCTCCAAGTTACTTTGTTCTCTCAGCGGTAAATGCTTCCAGACGACTTGTTCGGCTGGTTGAGCCGGTTCAACACCTTGTTATCTCGGCTAACGGTATCGTTTCTTGCAGCACTTTACCGGCCACATTTGTGACTAAATGTCTAAATGACTCCTGTCATCACTGACAATTACTCAACCCTAAAGCGGCCTCGTTCTTCAATATTTCCTGCCCAGTAATGTATCATTTTCCTGACTTATGTAAATAGCTATTTTTTAATGTACCTATTGTAAAAATACATTATCTATTTATTAATTAAAATACATACATTAAAAAAGATACATAAAACGCATGCAGAGTAAACTAAATTAGGCGCTGTAGATTTCTGAATAATGCTCCTTTCTCGTTTGAAATGGAACATGGAGGAACAGCGTGCATTACCTGAAGGGCTATTCGCTTTCCACACCATAAACCACAATCAAAGTTTCAGATCGATGGATTGTGTGGGGTGATTCAAATGGAAAATTTGCCCAATAGGTATTTTCACACGATTAGAGCGTTGTGCGCAGGTGCACCATCCTGTTGAAACTAACAGTTTTCAACATTTGTTTTGTTTGTGGCAAACATAGTTGTATTCGTAATAAAAAATGCTACTCAATACAGTATGTATTTTTGGGGTGTATTGAAAATTTGCCAACGGTGTCAAATAGTGGCAATGAGAAAGTGTTTAATTTTTTTGTATCTGTTCAAATAAGATAGGAAAAAAATAAAAACGAAATGGGGAAAAAAAACAAACGAAAAGATTCTGATCAGAATGTCACACTTAACGCTAGTGGAGTATTACGAGTTTTTTTTACGAAAACCGCGATCGCGCGCCTTTATAAGCGCAGGAATAGCAGAAGTATATAGCACCAAATTGATAGAAAGTAAATTGTAGCGACCGACATTTTACCATTTACCATACCATTTGTAAACTGACCCTTCCCCACAACTATTCCGAATTGTAAATACACTTTAAATATGTGTCATAAATCATGGTCTAGTGGCAAGGATACTCTGTCTGCAACCAGGTGGCTCGTCTTAAAAAAAAATTTTTTTCAAAAAATTGCGTAGGATTTGAAAGATTCTTCAAAGATTTGAATATAAAAGTTTATTAAAAATTCGTGAGGACCTGTCAAAGGTGTGTTGGAGAGCAGTGGCGGTCCCGGGGGGGGGGGGGGGGCTCCGCCATTGTCCATTTTTTTCATCAATTTTGTGTCGATCTCATCTCCATTATGCGAGATATCTTTTATTTTTTTCTGTGTTGGGACAAAGTTCGGGTTTGGATCAATCCCTTTGCCAAATTCTGGGACCGTGACTGTTGGAGGGTTCTAAAAGACTGATGCCCGTTTGCACCGACAAATTTAAGCGGAGCTTAGCTTAAGCGTCCCTTAAAATCCATGGCAACCATTGTCTCAATAATCGTTGCCATGGATTTTAAGGGACGCTTAAGCTAAGCTCCACTTAAATTTGTCGGTGCAAACGGGCATGAGGACCACTAAAAACTATTGGAAAGAAAATATTTGGTTTAAGTGCTCCCTCAGGTTCTAATGATTAACAAAGGCTCTTAAAGTCTTTAGACGATGTCTTTTAATGAGTCTTGTAAATCCTCGAGGTTTTTGGACTCTTGAAACCCTTGAAAGTTTTTAAATGGCCTTTGAGCACCCTTAAAGATTGTAAAATGCTATTAAAAACTTTGGAAAATTGCATAGCACTTTAGAAAATTATAGAAGAACCTTGAACAGTCGTTAAAACAGTCCCACTTGTCTTTAAAATGTCTACAAAATTCTAAGAGATTGTTTGGAGATGCTTACAAATTTTTGAACTCTTTGACTACCTGTGGCTAATGCTATAGTTTAGATATTTACAGCACTTGAGTTCTCACATGTTCTTAAACGATCTGAAAATAAATTTGAATTTCAAAAGAAAATGGCAACAAAAGCAGTGTTAACAACACGATTTTAACAAAAAAAAATTCCTTGGTTTCAAAGGTCATATATTTAATTTTTTAATTAATAATAATAATATTAATAGTGATTTATTCTTAGAATTGTGAATTACAATTATCGAAACGTCAAGGGATATTATCTAACAGACATATTAGGATAAACAAACGACGTAAAAACTGTATACATACTATATAGACTATACTATAAAATATCAAGCGAACCTAGAATAGCAATATGTTCTTTGAATTCCTGTACGGAATAAAATGAGTTGCTTTGTAATATTTTTTTGAGATTTGTTTTAAATTCATGATGGTTGAGATTTCTTAAATGTTTTGGGAGAAGATTAAACAGTACCGAGGCTGTATGAAATGGAGAGGTTTTATAGTAGGTATGGTTGTGTTTGCGAATTGCAATGTTGTGTTTCCCTCTCGTGTTGTGTTCATGCATTTTACCTACTGTATCAAATTTCTTAATGTTTTTATGCACATAATGAAGAATTTTTTGGATATAAATACAGGGCAATGGTAAGATTTTAAATTTTACGAAGGTGTATCTGCACGTTTGTAATTATTTAAATGACTCCAGAAGCAGCACAAAAATGCAGTGGCGGTTTAAATTGTTTGCGCCCCTAGGCAGACCGAAAGATATGCGCCCCAAAATAATATTTAAATTGCAATAAATTTTAAGATGTTAATAAAAATCACATTATAACTTGAAATTTTTAAAACTAATATGAAAATACAGGATACCTAAGATAAAGTTTTCACACATGTCAAAACCTGCATTGTCGATTGTCGTTCTTACAGTTACAGTTTGTTTAATCTATTTACCAATTCCAATTTCATAATTTTAATTAAAGATTTTTGTCATTTGTATCTTGTTAGGGGACTTATTTTAAAACTTAAAATGTTACCTAAAATAAATATAGTGCAAAAAATGCCGCCCTCTAAAGCTGCCGCCCCTAGGCACATGCCTAGTGTGCCTATATGTAAATCCGCTACTGCAGAAATGTATGTTGTAGCGTAATTCATTAATTAATGCTTGTTACGCATTTTCAGCTATTGTAACATGATTAAATGTGTAATAACAAAAATATTAACGAAACAAATATGATATATGTCCATGTTATTACAGGGATAAGGCTTTGGCAGCTACGGGTCATCGAGGTGTGCAATTGGCATCGGACTGGCTGCTCGCCCACGTCAACGATCCGGTACTTGATGACGCGGCGCCCAGAGAATATATTCTTTATGTATGTCCCACGGGAGAATTCTTAGAGCAGCTGCAAGCATTTTGGCACAAATCCCTCGAGTTATGCGGATGGAACGGTGCGCACAACTTCATTCCGCATATAACATTGGTTTCCTTTTTTAAGGTGACCGCGTTCCGTTTGATTTAAGTTATAATAAACCTTGCAGGCTCCGGACTCGGACGCTCTACACTTGGCCCAAACGTTAAAGTCCGTAATGGAAAGGCACGGGGCGACGCTTAACGAACCTCTCAAATTAGAAACGTACACCTCGCCAAACTTCATGGGTTTCTTTGTCGCCGAAGAGCACGCCGACTATCTGAAAAGAATCGCCATGCAGTATGTGAAGGATGTTTCGAATACCAGTAAGAAAACTTTATGTGAAATGTTGAGTGGGTGTAGTATTATTAGTTTTACGGGTAGCTGGACTGTATTTCCTTATGGTATTGGTTAATTTCAGTTATTAGCGATACTTATGAACAATTTGACGCCTTGACGGCCTGCTTTCCTTGGTGTACGACAACCACAGCTCGCTGTATTCCCAGGGGTAGTAGATGTAAGATTTCTCTGCTTATTAGAATTTATTTTAGGGCAAAGCTTACAGTTTCTTTCAATTATGGTTTAACTTTTTCGAATGTCTACTTTACGGGGTTACTCAAGGATCTACTGTTGGACCACTGCTGTATGTTTATGTTTTAACAGTGCATTAGAAAGAGTTTAAAGTTCTAAGCTAAGATTACATTGTTACCAACTTCCAGGTGTTACAGTCACTCTAACGTGGTCATGAATATGTTGAATTTTAATTTATATTTCAGTGTCACGTTTTGTAGCGGTTTTCCAATTTATTCATTGTTTTACTTATTGTAATCAGTAGTTTCCATCCTTTTGTTAAAGGGGCCTTTTTTTTGTTGAGTGGAAAGATAATGAGAAAGTGTGGTAGTTACTTAGCTTCGTTAAATGTAAACTCTTTATTAAATGCAGTTAAGTGGTACAGTAAGTAGGTACTGTATGCAATGGAAACATACCATTTGGTTAGAGATTGATATACTTTGTTTCAAGGGTGCTGAACCTTTCGTCACACTATCTGATGTCATAGCAAAATTAAGGCAGGTCGTAAATTAGTAGTTGGTTTACATATTGTCACATTGACGTTTCAACTTATTTATTAAGGTGTCACTATCGTTCATCATGATTAGACCGCCCAAGTTGACAATCACTTATAAGGCATCTGGTCCTGATAGGTTTTTTCCTGTTCTTAGGTTTTATAATGGGTAAATGGTCATGTATTTTATGTAGAGGAAGTCCGTTGGTATGAATTAAACCTTTTCCACCGTTTGTAATCACCTCATGTAACCGATTCTTTGCACCGACAATCGAAATGGATACTGCCAGAGCATCCGAAACTCTTTGAGATGAAGTGTATGATGGTTACAGAAAACGCATAGGAACATTTGTAACTTAAAGTTTGTTTAGGCAGTTCGTAAATTAATATTTTGTTTACATAATGTTGATGTAAAATTAAGTAGGTATGCTACCAATGTGAAGAATACGCGTTAAGTTGCGCGAATTTTAATGACCCTTAACTAGCCATTTGCAGAAGTAGAATAGGCCATGGTTTATCGGTAAGCCTTTCGCATTTATACATCTTACAAATTTGAGATAAAGCGTAGTCATTATACCACTGGCTCATTGAAATAACAACGCATACATACAGTTTCTGTTCTTTTGCCACACAGTCGAGATATTCGCATAAGGATCTTGAATATCTTCTGATCCGATTTATTTAAAAAAAAAACGCAATTGTGAGAGAAAACAGGTAGTGATGATATTTATTCCTGAAAAAACTCTCAAATGTTCATATTCAAATCGTATGTACATAAGAAAAAACGACACTACACCACAAATCCATCTTCTGATCCTGCATGGAGTAGTAGGTATATACCGGACCCCTTCACTCACTTCTTTTTCTAACTGTTTTGAGAGTACCATCTTGCCAGCTTCTTCTAAAAGACCCTTTACTGTATACTGTATATCCAGGTTTCGTCTAAATCAAGTCGTTGAAGATTACTGTGTAAGGAACGGAGTGTAACATTCTCACCTATAAAATCAATTCAATACCTAAGTGTTCTAGCGAACCTCTTCATTCTGTGTATCGGTTCGTCATATTTACCTAATGGTAACGGGAATGACCTAAATTCATGATATGAGCGAATCGAACCATTATATAATATTTTTAATACCTGTGTATTAACGGCGTTGCTGCACTGTCGACTTGCCTAAGCGTTTTTAACTTTGATGATATTTACTTCACTTTTAACACAAACTACTTAATCAAAAGGCATTTAACACTGGAAATCTGTCTATAACGAAAATCATTTGACGGATTGATATTATGACAGATCAATTGGTTTATTTGTCACGACTTACGTTAATGACGTAATTTTTTTGTCTCAATCGATTTAAATGTAATGAAGTGAGAATCACATTTATGACGTCAGGTTCAGCACCAGTGAAACAAAGTATAAAGACAAACTTGTCGTGGCCCCTCCCACGCCGCGACGTACATGATTATTTGGTTATTCAACTTATAATTTTAATCTAAGTGTATGGATCACTTGGGCAATAGGTATATGATACAATATGCTTTTTATTCGCTGTCCATCAACCTCTCGTGCCAAACATTTTTCTCAAATTTTGACCTAATAAAAGCATATCCATCAACTAATACGAATATCTCCGTATGTTTGTATGTCCGTCCGGGCCCACTTTTACGGATTTACTTTTAGAGGAATTGCACTACAGTCTAGAATATTGAATTTTGTTGCATATAGATACCTACGACGAAAGTAGCGGCAGTCGGCGGCAACCTGGATGTTTTGTCGGCTGAACGGACGGACGGACTCAAGCGCCACCACCGATACAGCCTTGCCAGCGGCCAAGGTCGACAATAGCTGCGGCTTGGCGGATCGGTCTCGGAAACCTCGGGCAAATTCAAACGGAGTAAACGGCAGCTCCAGGAATTTTAAAGGGCAAGCGGCCGCCGGCTCCGGTGAATGCAAAACAAAATTAAAGCGGAAATAGGAAATAATCGGATTCGTTGATCAATTGATAACGGCGTAAACCTGCGCGGTCTTGCAGTTTTAATGCTAGAGTAATCTCAAAATGAGAAGTACATCGTGACGTCATTTGCGCAAAGCATGAAAATGTGTCCGGGAGAGTCCATGATAACTCCTAAGGGGAGCGCGCGCGTTGACATTTGTGCATTGCCTCACACAGCAAATGTACTTTCAAACCTCAGTTTAAATACCCTATGATACGCCACTAGTGGCAACAATACGCGCAGAAAGTGATGACGTCACGATGTACTTCTCATTTTGAGACTACTCTAGTTTTAAAATTAACATAGGAAACAAAACCCCGCTTAACGTGGGTCTCCATTCTAAAATATTAATTTGCCCCCTCGTCTTCCAAATGACAAGAGCATCCAAAATAATTGAGATATCTTGACGGGTACGGTTGCAAATGACGAAGTGCGGGTGCGGCTTTTATTTATGGTAGCGGCGGCTGAAATAAAACTCTAGAAATTAAATCATTTACCTTTAGCTTCTATCTTCAACTCCTAGAACTAACACAAATACTTTAGGCACGGCACTTTTCATCACGAAGCTCCCAACTTAAAACTTCTAGATATTGGGTGTTCAGCAGAGCTGGTCGACTCTACAAATATATGGTGTGGTCATAACATCGGGCATGAAACTTCAAGGCAGAAAATAGTTTTACAGTTTGATAAACATTTTTGAGGGGGGTGGGGGGGGAGAGATAAGAGTGCTTTCAATCATCAATCAACTGTAATACAGATCAGTAATAATCTATCGTTTAGGTTATCAACCTAACGTATTTTTTTAAAAATAGAACACCCTGTATACTTTTTAATTTTTTTGAATATCAACTCTGGTGCGTTAAATTTTTGAAAAGTGACTATAATATAATATTTTTAGAGAGGTGTTTATTACAAAAGTTTCTGTATAATGATCGTTGAATAATCTGCCATTTTCAAAATAAGTATACGGGGTCAGGTAAAAAGGGTATCGGACCTAACCAATTTTTTTAGCGCATTTTTTAAGAATTAAAAAAGATGTGCTATTGTTTGCTTTTTGTCCGTTCGTTCGGACCCACTTCTACCGTTTTGAACTACTTCTAGGGGAAAGGTCCTAGAGTCCTGGAATTTTTTGCAGTAGGTAGCCTATACCTTGAAGGTGTGCCAGACGGCCATCAAATTTCGTCGTTTTTGAAAGTAAAACGTGCATAACTTTTACATACGACAACCAATTGGTCTCCGATTTTGCATACGCATGCCTATAGTGGTGCTACGTTAAACTTTAGGAAATGGGAGGGGGGGAAGGGGTAAACACATGTTCTACCCTTCATGGTATTCTAATGAAAGGTCTCAATGAAAGGAATTAATTTCTACCATTCATAGCCCTCCTCCTCGACCTCTTATCGTGATCGGGTATATTCCCTTATACCTCAAGAACGGATTGTCGGAAGACTGTACTCACAAAGAGCGATTGAGACGTCTGCAAGAAACATATCCATTGGTAATGTCAAAACAAAAGCTATTTAGGGTAACAAAATGCACTTTATCTGCACAAGAGTTGTGCACCATTTATACTTGTTTAAGTATTACACCATGTATACTTTACTTAAGAAATACCATATTAAATTCCTTTTTATAACAATATAAGACTAAAGCAATTCAAAATCAAAATTTTAAAATATTCGCCGGCTTAAGAGATAGGGGAAAAATTGAAAAATTGCCAGTTCCAGAATGACCCTATTTTATTACTTAAAAGAGCCACAGAAAAATGTTTCTTACAAAATTTCTTTATGAAAGGTTATCGGACCTAACCTAATTTTTTGAAATAGAACACCCTGTATACTTTACTATAAAAAATAGCATATTAAATCCTTTTTTCAACAATATAACACTACAATTCAAATTTTGAAAATATTCACTTGCTTCAGAGAGCAAAGAATAAAGATACGGCGGTGATTTTTTTATATTTTTTTGATTTGAACGTTATAAATTTTTTAAATCTGTTATCTTTTTTTAATTTTTTTGAATCACTTGAATCTTGTTTGAATATCGTCCCTAATATTCTATTTTTTTAAGTTAAAATATGCCGGGCGTTCTATCTGGTCCGATAACTTTTTACTTGATTCCGTATACTTCTTTTGAAAACGGTAGGTTATTCCACAATCATTATAAGGAAACTTTTGTGATGAACAACCCTATAAAAATAGCATATTATATTCTATTTTCAAAGATTTAGCACATCATAGATGATATTTAAAAAAATTTAAAAAAATTAAAAATCAGTTAAAGAAATTAAAAAAAATTTTTTTTAATCAAATTTTCAAAAAGATTTTTAAATTTTTTAATATCTCCCGTATACTTAGAGGGGCGAATCTACGAGCGTTACATAGCTATGCCGAGCTCGTTTCGTCTTGCTTGACACTGTAAATTATAAAAAAATCTGCATACTTTGTCACACTTGTATTTGGAACCCTCAAAAAAATGTTGTTACCTTTGGGTAACGGACATTTGAACACTTGAATTGCTCACTTTTTATATAATTTATTTATTAGTACAGATCATTGAAATTGAAGTAAATGTGATACTCACTTGGAAAAACCTGTTTGGCAACGTGAAAATTTTGGCCAGTTCAAATATTGACAAGTGCGGTCCTGAGACTGGTGATTGTAGGTGAATTCCTCATCCGTCAGAAAGCAAATTGTCTTGCTATGTGTAAAAGACTAATGACAATAACAAACAGAGAGGGATACCTATTCGAAGTGCGATTCTGCTTCATGACAATGGGCAGCACATGCGAAAAGTTGTAACTAGAACTGGCGAATCTGTTTACTCTTTCTGAAAACCAACTGTTCCTAGTATTAAAAAGTAACCAAACAGCAAATAAGTGTAGTAATGCTGAAAGTAATACGACCTTTGATAATTGGATAAGAAAATCGTTATATTGATAGTGTTTTTTTAGTCAATTCTTCCGCTAGAGAATTTCGCAACGAAAATGGGGTATTTTACGTTTATGTCTTCAGTTTTGGGGTGTAATCTATATTTGACGCAATACGATTTTTTCATTGTGTTTGCTTTTATTAGAGTAACCTACCATAAAAATGTCGATCAAATTGCTCCATAAATTAGAAAGTTGCGTATTGCGCATGTGCAACACGATTTTTGGCACAAGCATTTTTTTGCTTTTATTAGAGGGACATATCATAAAATTTCGTTCAAATCGTTGACTGGATTTTGAGAGGCATGGAGTGATAAAAAATGGGACAATTGATTTGCTGTATGTAATTGAACCTGCATTACAGCTGTAAGTATGTTATACAAAACCAGGATGATTTAGATATAGTGGAAGATTGTAATGAATCGGAGGATTTTGATTGATCTACTCAAAACGCTGTGGATAGAAGTGATATTGTGAGCCTGAAGAGAGTAGAAGAAAATGTTACGGTCTCAGCAGTAATACGGTAATTAGGACCCTTGCATTGCTTTTAGGATGACCCTGGCAGGTCCAAAATCAATCTTTTTGTGTTTTGGACCTAAACTCGCATATATCAGGTGAAATCTGCTTTTTGAACGGTTTGACGGTTAAATGATTAATTGAGGCACCATCTCCAACCCATACCCGCACTTTTTTTTACCGCATTTTTGCAAATTTATTTGTAACAAGGTAGCTTTTAATCTCACTTTGGCCAGCTGGCAAATGTACCTACCGGGCCGTGTAATTAAGAACTTTAGGGACGGGGTTCCATGATGAGAAGTCGGCGACAGGTTAAGTTACACATAAAAAATAGTTGCTAACCAATAGTTTTTTGCATCGTTTTTTAAATGTAAGTCTAAAAGTTTTTAATTTTGAACTGCTTTTGTTTGGTTTTTTATTAGTAATACTCGATTCAAATTTGCGCTCTTTATTTTTTCATCCTCTTTTGATACAGTATTGTATTTTGTAAATACTATATGATTAACCGAACCAATACTTTGCCTCAATTAGTTTGCATAACAGACTTCCTACTGTATGTGAAAAAGGTGGGAAAATGAATAAACTCAGTTAAATTGTTGCGCCATATTTTGCTTAATGTTGAATATTCAGATTTATTGCGCTGATACCATTGAAATGCCGATACGTAGATATAAAGAAGTGTAGCATATTCGAAATACTATTTCATCATGAACATAGCATTAAATCTTACTTCCTGTTGATAATTTTTACAAAGTGTGTGGACAATTGTAACGGAAATAAAACAATAGCATTCAATAAAATTGTATTGTAAGTAGCCAGTAGATTATATTTTATGAATTGCTTTATCTAACATTTAATGATAAGATTGGGTGTTATTGGTATTCTTCCATTCAGCAGTATTGATAACCAAACGTTTTTCAATTATTTAATACAAGTACGCACATGTTTCCTTCACTATTACGTACATGAATCTGAGTTTTATGCTTAATTTAAATAAGTTATTATCGTTGTTTGCCTAGTAAAGTAGACATTCATTTTTACAAGCTAGGCATTTCATTTTGTTTTAGTACATACAGCAAGCAATAATAACCTCACTGTCGCCGAAATAAGCTTATACTGGTCACAAAAAAATGTATTGACACTTGTGGTACGATAACGTTGATTGCTTCAAATGGTTAAGTTAGACATGTGAGATATTGCTCGACTGTGGAGTAGTTAACGTGTATTCTTAACAAGTTTCATTTCTAGCAATTAGTTTGGAGCCGCACGTTAAATCTCTACATTTAACTTTGGCGTATCAGTTTCCTAACTCGCAGTTCAGCGCTTTAAAATCTTTAGTGGAAGGGCTCGATCCAGGTATACAGTGTGAATGGGAACTACGCTTATATTCGAGGGATTCTCGGCTTAACGGAAAACAAGTACACAAAGTAAGTTCTTTTGTATTAGTTCTTTATTCTCTACATTCATGTCTTAAAGATGAAAGGTATTCTCACTTGCGCTATATTGCACACTATGCATTTTTATTGGAGTAAAGTCCATATTTTTGTTCCCATTTCATTAAATTAAAATACACTGAAAATTGGCTACAAAATTGTTACCTCTTTTCCACCTTCCATGAAAAGAACAACACTAAACGGTCATATAAATGAATATTGAGAAAAAATCAAAAAAGTTAAATATTTCCCGAATGCAAAAATACATTAAAAATACAAAAATTTAAAGGACGATTGAATCCTTTAAGATCGATTAATCCAAATTTTTAGGTTCAAATTTTTTCTATGGTCGATCTTAAAAGGTATCCAATATTGGCATGGACAAGTTTTGCCAAAAAACGGGACTAACCTTGCAGTACAATTGTTCACGTTTATGCAAACAGTTGTTTTTCTTAACGTCTAGGTACAACTCGATATATGTAAGCAGAAATGTAACATAAATTAAATTAAATTTGGGAAAGACTAATAAAATCTCATCCCCTCTCTTAGTTATTCAGTAATTTCGAATGTCCAAAAATTGGCAGAATATTTTTAACATGGCGATACCGAATTTTTGTTGGGTAGTGACTTTGCTTCAACCAATCTCGAGCTAGTCTTAAAGCCCTTAATCATTTCAAGCTTTGCTGACGAAAGGTTTTCATGGTCTGAATTTACGTTATGTTGATCTAAGGGCCAGCTATTAAATAGGATGTAATTTGAGCCGTCACCCAGACTCCCTGACGCGACTGGCGATTAGAGCTAATTAACAGAACGAAGAAGCATTGGGACTTGAATGATGCAGAAATGACAGACTTCATCTCCACCACGGTTTCAAACTCAATTAGTAAATCACGAGATTATCAAGAATTTAAAATGTGTCCAGTATAACTATGCCAACGAATGATAAATCTAATTATATAACACTTTATTAACATACAAGATCACCAAGGATTTAAGTGTGCCAAGTCCGATTTCGTCACCAAACATAAATCATAACATCTAACGTATTTTGTTAAGACACGGATCTGCCAAGGATTTAAAATGTGACCGGTGTGATTTTGTCATCAAGTAGGTACAAATCCAATTTTAATACACAAAACCAGTAAGAAATTCAAATCCGACTGGCGTGAAATACAAAACCGTAAACCCCTTTATGCTATAAGGAAATAACACACCACACACTAGTGAAATGCCAGGAATTTCAACTCAGTGCGCATGATCGGTATTCTACTGTTCAAATCTGGATTTGAGTGGATATTTGTAAATGTTAAGTGGGTTGGGTTGGTATTTAAAAATAAAAGACAATAAGATAAATAATAAAATAAAACACCTCTAACCCTGTTTTCACCTCATGCATCTATTAGTTTTGCCTGGAAAATGATTAATTAATAATTGTCGTATGGTGCATAATTATTAATAATCATTACAAATAATTGGCCATGATGCCATAACATTTATGGTTAACTTTGACTTCAATGCAGGCATTAGTATAAGAATTTTTAAGGTGTTTACTAAATCAATACTTTTAGATTATTCATCCCTATGGTCCATCGGAGTCTGACGAGCTTGAATTACGAACTGGCGATTATGTTTATATAAGTAGTGAAGCGTTAATTAATAGTCCAGACGGTTGGGTCGAAGGTATTTCATGGTTAACAGGTTGTTCAGGATTGTTGCCTGAAAGCTACAGTGAACGAACAGCGGAATCTGACGCTTGGACATTACACCGGAAAGTTACTTTGAATTATATAAGTAAGCCTAGTGATACAAGTACGTCAACTAGCCATACAAGTTTAAAAAAAACAAATAGCTGTGCGCAACAAGAAAAGGGAGCCGAGAGTTTGAAATTGGAAGAATCTAAAAGTGATTCAAATATGGTTGCTAATGAAGATGCTAATTTGGTAAAAGAAAATGGGAAAGCCACGGTTGGTACCGAAACAGATCATTTAAATGGGGAAGACAAAAATGCAAGTTATTTCAGTTTCGCATTCTATCAGAAAGTTACTCTCATTCTCTTGTTTTAGAATTGTTCAGAATCACCCCAGCATTTGTTCATCATGCGACATGGAGAGCGAGTCGATTTTACGTTCGGTACATGGATACCATATTGCTTTGACCAAAGCGGTAATTACGTGCGAAAGGACCTTAACATGCCTCTTACTGTACCAAATCGAAAATTGGGGCCTAAAGGATACTCCAAAGATACGCCTTTAACTCAAATTGGTATTCATCAAGCTTTATTAACCGGAGAAGCTCTAAAAAATGCAAACGTCGTAATTGACCATGTATATTCATCACCATCATTTCGTTGCGTTCAAACGTGTGATGCTGTTCTAAGAGGATTAGGGAAAAAGGACGATCTTAAAATAAATCTGGAACCGGGATTGTTTGAATGGTTGGTTTGGTATCCAGAATCGGTACCCGACTGGATTAATCCGGAAGAGTTGGTCGAAGCCGGATATAATATTGATACCACCTACAAGCCAGCAGTGTCGCAATCTGACTTGGTAGATACTCATGAAACTTGTGAGGAATTTTATATGCGAAGTGCATATGTTAGTAAACACGTGTTGTCTTCGAAGACAACCGGTAACGTTTTATTTGTAGCACATGCATGTTCTTTAGATGTATGCTCTCGAGAGCTGACGTCTTGCTCTCCGCGTTCCTCGACAGAGATGACAAAATTGCTAACAAAAGTACCTTATTGTGGCTTACTTGCCTTGGCAAAGTCAGATGATAAATGGGAGATGGTTGAAGCTCCCTGTCCACCTCTCACGCATACCAATAATCAACGATTCGATTGGAAGATTTTACAATAGTCACATGAGGCCATTTGTTTGTCTTTACTGTAACCAAAGATACAACCGAAAACCGTCTACTAATATTTTCTGTTAAATGTGGTACACTTAACATCTCCATCATTCAAAATGAACATAGTGAAAATATATTTATTAATAAATAAAATTATATTTAAACTAATTTCACTCCTTCATTTATTTTTATTTCTTTAAGACATACATACAAATTTCTAGATGCCTTAAGGGTTGATTTAGCCCCGCTACGCCTCAGCCAGGTCTGCAATTCTGTGTTTGGGTACCTATTATAGGAGATCGCCCTTTCAGCTACATCCACTACTCTGTGGATAGCAAGTTCACAGGATCTTCCTGGTTGATAGGCACATTTGTGTTTATTGTATGTGTCGCTGTCGCTCAATAAGTTTCTCTAATAGTTTTAGAAGAAGTGACATTAGACTAATGGGTGTATACGACTTTTGGGCGTATCGTCCAGGTTTCGGTATGAGTGTGACTTTTACGTTATTCCACGCCCTAGGTATGTATCCTAGGGAAAATTGGCCCTTAGTAACGTATATAGTGTGGATGCTAACAGATTGAGACCTTGTGTTGTAGAGCAGGATCACTAACCTAACTTTGGTTCGGTTCACTATCTGTCAAACCAAAACCCAATCTCCTCTGTTCTCCCTGAGAAGTGGTTTCAGAGTAATTTGTCACCCACATTCTTTTGAGGTAGGGTGTTTGATCCCGGAGAGTAACTAGTGTTGTTTGCTCTTACGTAGATATTAGGTACTTTGCAGGAGTAACAGCGACTTCCTTTATATCACTGATAAGTTTTAATAACTTGTAAGCAAAGAGTAACCATTTGCTTGTAAGTGAGATTAATAGTCAGTGGGTAGTCCCAAACTTATATATAGTATATATAAAGTTGAATTAATGTAATGTAAAATCCCTACAGTGAGCGTTGCTACCGTTACTGAAAAAAATATAAATAAAAATAATATATGTAGTAGTTATTCATTTAGTCGGGTTCTACGTAAAAATCACTTAGAAGAAGTACTGTTTTTGGGACTATCAATGCTGCTTGTGTAACTCCCCTCAATTTTCTTCAAGGAATACCGATTCTATCCTCTGTTCGGTTTTGTAAAGCTCTGCATAGGTAATCTACAACTTTGTATTTGTAAATAAAATTTTACAACCATAGTAAATAATATATACAAACAGGAACATCTTATTTTGTTTATGAAGATTTCCATTTAAGATTACTAGGAAAACCTTACTATTATTATTATTTATTTATTATTATTTACCTCTCTTGTTCTCGGCTCTCAACAGGCTTGCGCCCAATTAATGCGCCATAATGCTTTTTAGCAGAGCTGTACTTGGCAAATGCGAGGCCTGGAGCGAAATATTTTTTTGGAGGGGGGGGGGTCCTAGAATAATAACGTTACCCACACTATGACACCATATTTGCGCTTTGTGAAATGACACTTTGTATATCTCATGTTCAAATTCCTCTGAAAAACGTGTAATCTCATAGTTTTTTGAAAAATAGAAATTAGCAAAAAGTAAAATTCCTTTTGATCTTTGAATATAAAATTAGGAAGAAGTCTAGCCTAATGGGAACTTGTGGTTCCGGGACAATCGGGGGAGAGGTAAGGTGTACCTCTCCCACTTTTATAATAATATAATCGGTTTTAGAGCGAATATTATGCTCCGAATTGCGTTTGCACTGAAGATTTCAATACTGTAATCTTTTGTTGGTACGTATAATAGTCGCGCGCACTTTAAATGAAAACGCTGCCGATACCAATTGGGATACAAAAAATTTTATAGAACAAAAATTAGAGACAATTAAATGTACTACAAAAAAGTCCGCGACGGCATATATCTATCTTTAATCGTTTAGCCATATCAACCATTTAAAGTTGCGCATCTTGATTGCGTTGGCATTCATAGTATCTTTGATTGCTTATCATATATTAAGGGTTGAAGATACATATATGCCATCACGGACTTTTTTGTAGGAAATTAAATTCTCTACAATTTATTTTTTATAACTTTTTTTGTATCTCTTTTTGTTTTCTCAGCGTTTGTAAAAAAATGTACGCACATCTTAATTTTGAACTTTTAATAAACGTTTTACTTAAAAAAGAATCTGGCGTAGGTACGACTCGAACCCTTGACCTACATGTTGTTATAATTTCAGGTGCTTTTGGGGGTTCCGGTTGGGATGATCGAAGCGTTGTAAAAATTGAAACTGTCGTTATTTTTTTGACATTCTGCTCAAAGCGCAAGGGAAAAATGGGAAATGAAAAAAATGATGTTCTTATTTTTATTTTTATTATTAGTGCAATTCACATATTATCGAGCTCCTTGCGAGTATAATAAGGCAGGCCCTTTTGACATCTCCGTGAGTTATGAACTGAATTGCATGAAATTCAATATGGGCATAGCTTTAGCAATATAATACGCAATGGCAAAAGTTGAGCCTAATCGATTCAAAATGCATAGTGCTCTTTTGGTATCTCGGCCATATATGAACCGAATTGCAAACTTTTTTTAATTTATAAATGTATTTAAATGACATTTGATACATATGCACTTGGAATAAAAGCAAATGTAACGCCATTTTCAAAATTTGGTTTGGGCGTACGCAGTGTCTACTTATTTATTTATTTATTTATGAACATAACAGGTTACCCCAATAACAATGTTCATGTATTGTTAATAAAAAACTATTCGAAAACATAAAGAATATAAAAAATATATGTTAAGAGTATTAAAATAAAAAAACAAAAGAAAAAAAAATAAAAAATGCTGTGAACAATTTTTTACAGTCCTTGGATATTGTCACACGATCTTTCAAACTGTCTTAGGGACATATAAAAAATATCTATGGTGTTCTTCCATAAACGCACACTATTATAGAACGCATTTTTGAAATTTTATACATATGCACTTAGAATAAAAGCAAATCTAACACCAGGTTCAATTTGGTTTTGCACATACTATAGCCATACCCAAGAGCTCGTTTGCTATATTTTTAACACAGTTATTTTTACCCATACTAATAAATACACTAAGAGAAGGGCGCGGAGCAAAGCCCTATAATTCATCAAAAGTACGGTTTGGGCTGGATGTCATTTCACTCAACAAAACCAAATGTACTCTATGTAAAAAAATCCGCTGAATCTGAAAATCATAATCCCCTGGCCGGAAACTCCCGATATATATTGTTATACAGAAAAAATGAAGAAAAAATGGGAAAATGTTTTTTTTCGCATTTGACTGCAATTATCTCGTTAACTATCGCCCCGAGTGAAAAAATGAAGAGAAGTGATATTTTCCATTTTTTTCCGGTGAAGTATTCATGCAATTGAATTTGTTTAGAATCGAATTGTCTATGTCCTATGACATACATTTAGTATGAACGTTCATTTTTAATTGTTATTGTTTTTTATGGAGAAATATAAAAAAAACGCATTTCCGAAAATTAACAATCTGTTATTACTGAGTAAAATTCATCCGATCTTTTTGAAAATCCGTATTTGGTCCCTTCTTTTGATAACAAAAACATACGACAAACTCGATCACCGTAGGTATCAGAGCCATTGATTAAATAAACAAACAAATTGGATAACTCCCATAGCATTCTAAATGTTTGTACAGATGGTGGAACCCCAAAGCAACCATTTCCAAAAGTTGTCCCGATGATTTCTGCAAATTGACGGACGGATTTCGACGTATTTTTTTAAATGTAGGTACATTTTCCGAGAGGTTTCTGTTCGCCTATTATGGAGTCACATTTCTTCTTATATTTCGCAAATTATTCCATTTGTTAACTAGCAAGTCTTCGGATTTTGGAAAAAAAAATTTGACAGTCCGTTGATTTGCAAGAATCATCGGGACAATTGTTGGAAACGGTTTGCTTAGGGTTCCACTAGCGGAAAGAATTGGGGGAGAATCTGGGAGTCACCCACTTTGAAAGACAAAGCATGGATTTTTTAATTTGTATTTTTAATTAATCAATGACTATGATACCTAAGGTGATCGGTTGCCGTATTGTTCCGTTATCAAGCTACAGATAATATAAAAGGTAGGATGAATTTTGCTTAGTAACAGATTGTTAATTTTCGGGATTACTTTTTTTATATCTGTCCATACAAAAACAATAACTTTTGAAAATGAATGTTCCATACCAACTGTATCTTATAGAAAATTCGATTCTAATCAAATTCATTTCTCTTCATTTTCTCTCAGAGCAATAGATAACGAGATAATTGAAGTCAAATGCAAAAAAGACGAAATTTTCCCATTCTCTCTTCATTTTTTACGTTTTATAACAATTATACAGGGTCCTATAACACTGCGTCGGTCTTTCCTAGTTCACACCTGGTAAAAAAATAGCAAAAAATACAAATGATGATAGAATGTTATGCATATACAGAAATTATTTTTGAATGTACAGAGTGTCTCATGTTTACGGTGTCAATACACAGCTGTTTTTTTTCAATGGAACAGCATGTTTATTTTTAGCTAATTCGATGTCATTTTTTAAACTCTGCAGGCCAAATTGTTAATTTTTTTTCGAATAATTCTGTTATAAACCAGCCCCACTTTGATAAATCGTAGCGACCTTGATTTTAAAGTTAAGAAATAGAAATCAATAATTTTAATCTGAATAAAAGGCAACACTGGTAATGAGAAAGTTGAATTTAATGATACAGAGTGTTTACAAAAAAATTGTAAAATTTCTAGATTTCAAAGTGCTATAACTATTTTTATTCAAATGGAACTACCACTATTTTGTTTCTCTATTCGATGGTCTGTTGTGCGCTCTTCAATTCTTAGAAGGGATATCCTGTGCCTGAACCCCGTACTTTTTAAGTTATTCAATATTTTTCACTAAACAGTTACACATTAATGAATTACATGTTTATAAACAGGAGTAAACCGTGATAATAAAAAACCAAAGAATGCCAAATAGTAAACAAGTGCCATAAATTAATTGTTTGCTGCAAGTGTACTCATTATTTCCTAGTAAAATAAGATTTTTTAAAAAGACTAGTTCGAAATTCGCCTTTTTAATTAATCTTATTTTACTACGAAATAGGGAACACATTAATTGCAGCAGATAATTTACTTGTGACGCTTACTGGAATTTTTTTGGTTTCTATTATCACGGCTTACTCGATCCTGTTTATAAACATGTAATTCATTATTGTTTTGTGAAAAATATTGAATAACCTAAAAACTAGGGGGTTTAGGCACAGGACACTCCTTATAAAACTTAAATAGCACACAAAACCATATCACGTACAATAAAATTGCTCACAACCTTTGAATTTTAGATTCAGTCACAAAACGAAAGGTACCCACATTTACTTTAAAACGCTGTGAAAACGAAACTTCGTACAGAAAAACTCATAAAACATAAATTGTAGAGAATTTAATTTCCCACAAAAAAGTCCGCGACAGCATATATGTATCTTTAACCATTAATATATGATAAGCGTTCAAAGATATTATTGATACCAACGAGGACACTAGGTACAACTTTAAATGGTTGGTAAGGCTAAACGATTAAAGATAGATATATGCCGTCGCGGACTTTTTTATAGTAAATTTAATTGTCTACAATTTTTGTTCTATGAAATTTTCTGTGTCTAAATTGGTATTTGCAGCGTTTTCAATTATGTACGCGCGCCCATTATCAACATGAGTAAGGTAACAAATCAATGAGTGCAAGTAGGAGAGTTCAGGCTATCTTTGTCCTACACATAAAACGCTCTGTAAGAAGGAAGAGCAGTGACTGCCTTCGGAAAGCGCGCATATAAATCCAAAGGTACTTTTCACGTTCATTTCGTGGCTCCATCTATCGCTCAAGGTACTTTTAGACACCCACGCGAAAGTAGGTACAGGCTTAGACTTCTTACTAATTTTATATTCAAAGTTTTGATGCAATTGTTATAAAAACTAAAGAGTTAGTCCAAAAGAACTTTTAAGATTTGGCTTTAAATTTAGCAACTTTGCCACATTTGACCAACATCTATGTCGTAAGATAAGCGAGATCGCTGTGTTTAGCTGTGAAAAATGGGCTCCATAAATGACAATTATCATTAAAAAAAATTATTATTATTACTATGTTATAATTTATACCAGGTTTCTTGCAAATTTACTTTCACAAGATGTCAGTTATCAGATTTAGAAAATGCTAAACTGTGTTGAATTTATTTTATTGAAGGCACAAGACATTTTCATAAAAATTACACGTGATGATTAAAAAATCTCAGGAAATATGACCACCTTCCTTCAATTTTGCAACGAGTGAATCAACATCAGGTAAAATAACACCGGCTTGTCGGGTTGGAGGATCTTCTACACTTACAATTTTAATTCTTGGCGATATATCAACACCCAAATCTTTAGGCGTCATCTTTGTAATCGGTTTCTTCTTTGCTTTCTACAATATTCATATTATAATCGGCGAAATAGTCAATTTTCAACTTACCATTATATTAGGCAAGGTAGCATACCTAGGTTCATTTAAACGCAGATCTGCACTTATAACTGCGGGAATTTTACATTTAATGGTTTCTAAGCCGCCATCGATTTCTCTCGTTACAGTTAATTCCTTTTCACCTTTCTCAACCTGAATTATAAATTTTTAGAAGAAAATTACCACAATGGCTAATACCTTTGATGCAAAAGTTGCTTGAGGCCAGCCTAATACAGCCGCCGTCATTTGGGCAGTTTGATTGGAGTCGTCATCAATTGCTTGTTTTCCTACAATTATGAGGTCTATATTTTCTTTCTGCGCAATCTTGGCTAGTATCTTTGAAACGTGAATGGGCTGCAAAGTTTCATACTCTGCACCCGATACTTCGACATGAATGCCTTTATCAACACCCATGGCAAGAGCTGTTCTAATGACCTCTTGAGATTGCGCTGGACCACAAGATACAGCAATCACCTCTGAAGCTACCTTTTTTTCTTTCATTCGTATTGCCTCTTCCACTGCAATTTCATCAAAGGGATTCATCGAATGTTTAACACCCTCAGTCACTACCCCCATTTTATCGGGTTTAACACGAATCTGTGTAACAAATAACCTTAGGAAGGGTCCCTGCATGTTTCGACATGTAGATCTTTACCTTAACAGCATAGTCGATTACACGTTTCACTCCTACTAACACACGGGCCATTTTTTCCCGAAATACTAACGAAATGACAGAGGCAAGGCTGGAGTTAATTGAAAAGAGGATTTTAATATTGAACTTTGAACATTGTGATAGATTTGGGACGATGGAGGTGGAGTAATTGCAAAATTTGTTTTGCAGGTCACGTGACACTTATGTCAGATGATACTGTGGCTAAAGACGCGGTTATTTTTAAATGATCAAAAAAGCACAGAAATTGATTCACACTCAAACTGTGACATGTGTAAAGAGGGTTTGTCGGTGTCGACATGCGAGAGAGTTCTAAACATGAAATGAGCAGCTCGTTAATTCTGGATGTGATGTAGGAATTTTGCGAACGCTACGTCACCGATCAGGGTGTAAAGGTGGGTTCATATACTTTGTTTCAAGGGTGCTGAACCTTTCGTCACACTATCTGACGTCATAGCAAAATTAAGGCAGGTCGTAAATTAGTAGTTGGTTTACATATTGTCACATTGACGTTTCAACTTATTTATTAAGGTGTCACTATCGTTCATTATTATCAGACCGTCCAAGTTGACAATCACTTGTAAGGCATCTGGTCCTGATAGGTTTTTTCCTGTCCCCAGGTTTTATAATGGCTAAATGGTCATGTATTTTATGTAGAGGAACTCCGTTGGTATGAATTAAACTCGAGATTAAACTTTTTCCACCGTTTGTAATCACCTCATGTAACCGATTCTTTGCACCGACGACAGGCGAAATGGATACTGCCAGAGCATCAGAAACTCTTTGAGATGAAGTGTATGATGGTTACAGAAAACGCATAGGAACATTTGTAACTTAAAGTTTGTTTAGGCAGTTCGTAAATAAATATTTTGTTTACCTAATGTTGATGTGAAATTAAGTATGCTACCAATGTGAAGGATACGCGTTAAGTTGCGCGAATTTTAATGACCCTTAACTAGCCATTTTTGCAGAAGTAGAATAGGCCATGGTTTATCGGTAAGCCTTTCGCATTTATATATCTTACAAATTTGAAATAAAGCGTAGGCATTATACCACAGGCTCATTGAAATAACAACGCATACATACAGTTTCTGTTCTTTTGCACCACTCGAGATATTCGCATAAGGATCTTGAATATCTTCTGATCCGATTTATTAAAAAAAAAACGCAATTGTGAGAGAAAACAGGTAGTGAAGATATTTATTCCTGAAAAAACTCTCAAATGTTCATATTCAAATCGTATGTACAAAAGAAAAAACGACACTACATCACAAGTAGGCAGTGTTGTAATAGTTACCTTTTTTTTAGTATCTAGATACAGATACAGGTATCACATTAAAAACATACCTAGATACAATTACAGGTACATTTTTGATAAAGTACCTAGGTAAAGATACAGGTGATAAAAAATGTACCTGACATTTTTTAGGTACATGTAGGTACTTTTACGTAATCATAAAAAGACATTTATTAATTTATTCTTTATTAACAGTTCTTAAAGTTAACAATGCCTCAAATGTCTCATCTGACAATCGGTTACGCCTTGGCGTCAATATTTGCCCCCCTGCACTAAATAGGCGTTCAACAGCCGCAGAGGAAGGTAAAATAGTATTATACATTTTAAACATAGTTAAAATAATATCGTAATGCATTAAAGATCTTAAATCTTTTGACTTATCATCGAAATATTGCAAGCATTGCATTTGTACTTGATTTTGGTTACCATCATCTGTCTCATTGAAACTTTCTTTCTTTAAAATAGTAAAAAAATCGTCTTTACTATGACTATCTGAGGAATCATCGCCAGCATATTCACTATTTTTAAAATTGGCATCATAAATTTTTTGACATTCGTTCACAAATAAGGACTTTATACGCTCGTTACAGCTATGAGTTTCATCACTTGAACTATGTAACCCTAACTAATAGTTTTAGGTAAAAGGTACATTCCTTAAAAAGGATCTAGGTATAGGTAAAAGTCTTTGAAAAGAAAGTATCTGAATAAACAATTAAGGTACTTTTAAAGTACCTAGGTACAGTAACTAAGGTACATAGCCTAGGTACATTACAACTGCAAAGTAGGTATATAGTTATAAACGGCCCAAAAATAATATTCTTAAACACGCTCATTCTCTTCTGCCTCATGAATGTAATCATCATAATAATCTTCGTCACTATCAGATTCGTCCAAGTTGATAATCACCGGTAAGATGTCTGATGTATCAATATGTTGTTCCCGTTCCCAGGCCTGGTTTATAATGCCTCTTGTATGATCAAAATATCTTCTCCATTTTTCCGGTGTAACCTAAACATTAAAGTTATTAAGTACTGTTTCACAAAACAGCATATAAAGAGGTTACTTTGTGCAGTGCCTCATTCCATAAAGACAAAACGGCACTGTGTGTGACAGGCTGAATTGAATCGATCCTTGTATCGTAATGCCGTTTGCATTCTGACCATACCATTTCGATTGGATTATACTCGCAGTGATATGGAGGAAGTCTCAAAACACGATGACCATGTTGTAATGCCAGTTCGTCCAATCTGTAAAAATCAACGTGGAGTGAAAAAAAAACCATAACAATCTGTTTCCTATCCAAAGGTCTACCTAACTGCAACCAAACATTTAATTATCAGCGATGCCTACCTAAATAGTTTTGGTGGTATATGATTTTTCACTACTTCCCAGATCTGATCTTGCATCATTGTTGGTGCAAATGTAATGTCTCGTGATGTTAGCCACTCTATAAGTGACATTTTTGTCCAGCATTGATTTGGACTTTTTTCTACCAATCCTGAATGGTAAGAAGCGTTGTCCATAATTATAAGAGAAGGTTCATCCAAGTTCGGGAGCAATTGTTGTTCAAACCACTTCTCAAAGTTAAGGCAATTCATGGAGTCATGATAGCCTCCGGACTTGCTACCAGATTTAAAAATTAGACTTGCGTGTGGTACAAATCCATCTTCTGATCCTGCATGGAGTATTATATACCGGACCCCTTCACTACTTTTTTTTCTAACTGTTTTCAGAGTACCATCTTGCCAGCTTCTTCTAAAAGACCCTTTACTGTATATCCAGGTTTCGTCTAAAACCACAGGTCGTAATGGAAAGAGTGAAGTTTCGTTGTGTTTAAAGTCCCTCAAAAATTGTAGTCTTCTTTGAGCTACATAGGGCTGTTCCATTAAAAATAATCTATTAGAAACGGTGCATCTCCGCCACGTGAATTTCAGTTTCTTCAAACTGCGGGACAAAGAGGTAGCAGATATTTCTACGCCATCAAGTCGTTGAAGATTACTGTGTAAAGAACGGAGTGTAACATTCTCACTTATAAAATCAATTCAATAAGTGTTCTAGCGGACCTCTTCATTTGAAGCAAATCTTCCCTTAGAACATAAAGAATGTTATTTACCTGTGGCATACATTGCATAAATCCGTGTCCTTATTACATGTTCATGTATTTATTTCATGCAGCGGAGGTCCGTGAGATAAACTAATAGCCACACTTTTTTGCGATTTGTAATCGTCATCTTTTTTAACACCTCTTGTACTAATTCTTTTTACAGTCCACAACGATACACCCAGGGCAGCACAAACCCTCTGTGATTAAGTAAGCATATGATTATAGCAAACGCATAGGAAACACTTACATCATATACTGCGCTTACGGGTGTTAAAGTTTTGCCTGCTTCTTTTTCCCCTTGGAAGTAGGTACTGAATCAACTTCAAAATCAAACTTTGCTCACCTTCTGTGTATCGGTTCGTCATATTTACCTAATTGTAACGGTAATGACCTAAATTCATGATATGAGCGAATCGAACCATTATGTAAAATTTTTAAAATACTTGTCTGTTAACGGATTTGCTGCACTGTGGACTTGCCTAAGCGTTTTCAACTTTGATGAATATCATCAACTTCACTTTTGACACAAACTACCTAATCAAAAGGCACACTGGAAATCTGTCCTTAACGAAAATCGTTTGACGGATTGATATTATTGACAGATCAATAATTTGTTTTGTTTGTCACGACTTACGTTAATGACGTAATTTTTTTGTCTCAATCGATTTAAATGTAATGAAGAGAGAATCACATTTATGACGTCAGGTTCAGCACCAGTGAAACAAAGTATA